ATATATATATCTCAAACTACCGCTTCCTCTCTCAACTGACAGAGCAAAAAGGGTCCAGGCAGATGTGCGATGTTTGTTGCAGTTGTGGATTGACAAGCAGTCTGGGTGTATAGTTTTTACTTTTTATTTTCACCATGTATAGTGATTTTTTTATTTTATTTTAAAAAAAGCTTTTCATCTACCTGAACTACAAGAAGGTTTAAGCTTCAGTTTCTTGACTCTTAAGGATGAAATCAGTTTTAAATCGGTGTTGGGTGAATCTAGTCGGAGCCTTGATCCTCAAAGCATCTTTATCCTGCTCTCTTTCCTACATCACTACCTTTATTTCTTTTAGGCTGCGTTGACTCGAGGTTGTAAGAGCTCACTTTAGCCGTCTTTATTTTGAGCGTAGTGCAGATCCTGTTGGGCTCTATAGGTGAAATGTTCTGTGACGTTTTATATGATCATGACGTAGCTTAGTGCAGTTAATTCAGCTGTGATTAAGACTTTTGTTTATCGGATCAGGTATGAGTGTGTAGGTTTTGTCCTAACCTATCTGCGCGTGGTAAATGTTGGACAGGTTTAAAGGAGAGTTATAAGTGTACTTTATAATAGGCCCATTATAGAAAATGGACATACTGTACATACAAACACTGACTTGAATGGAATATTCACAGCTACTAAGCATTGTCAGGTCTATCATTCAATACTGTACTGCTAGAAGTAACTTAAAGTTAAGTTATAATGTTGTCAGAGCAGGTGATGTCCGCTCTGTGGACAGTGTGCTGTGTGCGTAATGTGGAGCAGTTACTGTACCTCATCCATGCTTATGAATGTACAGCCAGGAGACAGATGTGTCAAACTATGCAGGACGTTCCTGAGCTGCAGGAACGCTGACGTGTTTCACACCTGTACAAGCATGACATGGAGCCATGATATCATCGATACACGAGGGGAGATTTTACTAAAAAAAAAAAACAACTCTAGATTTGGATCTGCATGCGCATCACAGTTTTTATTTTTTATTATTCTTTACATTTTCCTTTCTTTTGTCTTGATTTATTCTCCGTTTGATCAGGACATCGTCGCTTTTGAGAAGCTCTTGAACTGCATCAGACAAGAAGGGAAATCCTTTTAAAAACAAACAAACAAAAAAAGGGGGGCGGCGGGTGGCTTCTCCTCAAAATCAAACCTGGATTCAGCTCGACCTCAGATTACCAATGAGGAGTGAAAAGCCTGACTGAGTTTGAGGTTGACGAGGAGTCGCCCTGTAGACTAGAAATGGGCTGTGTGATGTTCAGTTGTGTAGCATTACCAGTGATGCCAGCCAGGGTATGACTGTGAGGGGAGGGATAGAAGCTTAGGGAACAGATGGAGTCCAAAATACTGTTTTTCTTTATTGTAATCATGAATAAGCACTTGCAAAATCTACTGTTTTCTTTTTTTTTCTTTTATGTTTTTCTTTTTTTGTTTTTGAAAGACAAAGATTCACAGTGTATTCAATTTTCTCTTTTCTGATAAGGCAAAATTCAGGGGAAATTAGTAGTGAATGTAATACAATTAGTTATTTTTTTTTTCACGGCTTTCAGGCTGTGACAGAAGGTCTAGACAATGGAACATAACAGAATATCTAATAAATTTGAACAAATAAGAAAATCAATGTGCTGTTTCCTGTTTTTGTGTGTCTGTCTCAGGGTGTTTTATTTTGTAATGTGCTTCTTAAACTTAAAAAATACATAAAAATTGGTTTAGAGAGCCCAATTTTTGAGTGGGAATCTGGAAATATTTCCTAAAATTCCTACAGACCCATTCTTCCTGATCAGAACTTTTCATTTTAAAATTGATTATTTCAGGTTGTGAACATTTTGGGATGAAAGAAAATGGGTTTTTACTTCCAACAGTGCTAACTTAGATTGTAACTTAGTTGTATTATTGTATATTTTGTATTAATCTGCAAAGTAAGCTGTCAGTTAAATGTAGTAGAGTAAAAAGTACAATATTTTACTTGAGTAAATATACATTTCACCACTGTATTTTGTGTTTATCCACGAGGAGGAAGGAGTTGAGGTATTTTAAATAATTTTTACGTATCTTTAAAACAAATCTGAGGTATTTTAAGTATTATAATACTGTACAAACATTTATCTGACAGCTTTAGTTGCTTTTATAATTAAGATTTTTGGCACACAAAGTTTATGATGATGATTAAATACAGTATAGACACAGCAGCTTCTCAAATGTGAAGATTTCCTGTTTTCCCTTTTAAGATATTAAATATTTAACATATTTGTAATAATTTAGAGGTTTGGAATTGTTGGTCGGACAAACAACACTTAAAGTTTATTCAACTCAAATAATTGTTTACTGATCTCATCAAAATGTTTCAGTAACAAACTCAGTTTTAAGGTTACAGAAACATTCCTGATTAATAACTTTTTAGTACGTGTTTTATTTGTATAAATTTATATTCAATGCATAACAATAACCGTAGAGAACAATTGAAAAAACATACAAGTTAGACATTTGGATGAATTTTCCTGATATTTTTATACATTTCTCTGTCTGTATTCTGTATTCTGTATTCTGTATCATTTTTAACAATCGTATTCAGACTTAAGAGGCTTCTTTTTTTTTACATATTCAGTGTTTTCTTCTCATTGTTCTATCAGCTCTTTGGTTGTTTGAACTTTTCTAACGCAGGACGAGACTGTTTATCAGAGACTGAAGCTCTGTGAATGTTCAGCTCTTCAAAGTTTACATCTTAAATAAAAAATCTAACCTTTAAAAATAATAATTTAATTTAGTTTTATCCACAGAACTGAATGAAATGCAGAACCTCCCCCTCGTGAAGCTTGAGTGACCCCTGGTGGGACCACTGACTGGACCAGGGGTTGGGCAACCTGTGGCTCCGGAGCCACATGCAGCTCTCTAGCCCCTCTCCAGTGGGTCCCTGTGGTTTTGACAAGTAAATATATGGAAATTAGTAGTTAAATTATTTCATATTTTCATATATCATTGTTGTAGGTCTAAAGTGATTCTTACATGCTCCAGTAAAATGTGCGTCATACGTTACCTGGAACCTTTTTCCAATCCTCAGTAGTGATGGCTGCTCGTCTTTAGTCTCCTTAGATATAATATTAAACTAATATGTAATATTGTGTGCACAGATTTGTTTTCTTTCACCATCAATGCTGCTGGTTCACTGGTTTGCTTGATAGTGCAGAGAAAAAATAGCATTATAAATCTTTTATTTTATAAAAATGGCACTTAGATTTAAGAATTGTGTGTTTTTCAACTAATCAGAATCAGAAATACTTTATTGACATTTGGATGAATTTTCCTGATATTTTTATACATTTCTCTGTCTGTATTCTGCATTTTTATCATCAACAATCGTATTCAGACTTAAAGGGCTTCTTTTTTACATATCCAGTGTTTTACATGTTTTCGACATGGTTTGGGTTTTTTAAGTGCAGTTTTTATTGATTATACATGATTATACCTGAGTAAAGGAGCCAGGGCTGCAGATCCGATGTCAGGATGGGGGGGCACAAAAGTGATTTTGTTTTTTGCCATATGCAACTCATACCATGCCACCATGAATCACAGCTTCATAGAGGCTCGTCATATCATTCAAAAAGTACTGCACAGGGAATCATTTATTGTGCTTACCTTTCTTGTTTATTTGTCCTAAACAGCCAACAGCGTGTATCACTGCTTACTTAACTGTTATATTAGTAAATCATACATTTGTTCAATTTTGAATAATTTAAGGGTATTTTTATTGGGGGGGGGACAATTCATGTTTTTCAGAAATTGGGGGGGACATGTCCCCCCCGTCCCCCCTGGGATCTGCACCCATGAAAGGAGCTGACTCCGTCCTCCATGCAGTCCTCCTCACTGACAGTCTGCTGCACAACAAAAAACAAAAAACAAAAAAAAATCCTTTAATCGCTCCTAGTGGCAGCTCTCAGCGCGCATGCGTGCACACTCACCCAGCAGGTAAACTCCACCATGGCGGCGAGAGGCCATGTGCAAGACCCCAACGACCGGAGACTCAGACCGATATACGGTGAGCACTCAATGGGGAGCCGTTCAGTACGGGTGGGGGGACGTTATTAGACTGTGTACCGGTGCGTGTGTGTAAAGTGGCGGCTGTCGGAGGCGGTTTGGTGCGGGGGGGCAGCGGTGCGGCCCCGGCAGCTCCAACCGCGGACTGTGCTGCTCGCAGCGCCCGATGACAGTGCACCTTCCCCGGCCTGCCACCGCGCCGGGGAGGGGGTCGGGGCGCGGGTGAAACCGCGGGTGAAACCGTGTGTTCCCGGTGTTATAACGGGTGTTGGCTCCCGGTGGAGACGGTTGTGTCGTCCGGTTGTCCTCAAAGTCCAACTATCGGTCGCTGGTTTGACAGCTAGTCTGCGAGCTAGGTTGCTAATGTGTCAGCTAGTGAGGACGAGCTGACACAAAAAGAAAGAAGTTTGTTTTATTTGTGCTGGTTGTTCGTCAGTCTGAATATATGTGTATAAATATAAATAGTGTGTTTTATTGTCTTGCAGCTGTAGCTCAGTGTAACACGGTTCGCTCCCTGGTAGGTTGATAATAAGGACAATGCTTCAGAGCTAACTCCTGTTAGAGCCAATGTGCTGCTAAATAACGGAAATTATGGTTTTATTCACTGTTTAATAATCCCACCTGTTTACCTGTTGTTTTATACTTTATTATTATGGTTTTAATCGAGGTTGTGTACTCCATTTCCAAACAGAACCACATTTTTTTTGTAGTTTTTAACGACCTTAACATTAAAACAGCAGAGGGTTACAACTTTGTCAACTTCCACATCAGCAGGATGACATGAATACACCTGAATAATGTTAATAACTGAGGAATCCCACCTGTTTACCTGTTTTATACTTTATTCAGAGGTGTAGTGTTGTCTGCAGAAGTAGATTTACCCTCAAAGTCAAAAAGTCCTACAGGATTTCAAAATAAATCTCCTGTCCTATCCAACAGGACTGTGAAAATCTACAACAACCTCATATTTTACTGCAACAATCACAAACAAAACGCTCAACAACAGCAGGAGTCACAGCTTTATCCACACCATCACAGCAGGATGACATGAACACACTCAGTTACTACGTTACGCTGTTATCACATCCAGTATTATCAATGACGGAGTACAGGGTTCAGTCTACAGGAGGTCTGTGACTAAAGCTGTATATAATGAACATATTACTGCTTCTATTTGTGTTATTTCTTGTATTTTTCTATTCTTTCTTGCCATTTAAATTGCATTTAATATGTTTAGGAGGAGTCGGACCAAGCTTCCCCCTCAGCAAGGTTGTTTAATGGAGCCTGTGTAATATTTTAAAGTGTCTTTATCTGCACCAATAGAAAAAACCATCTAATCTAAACTCTGTAGGATTTTAAAGAAAGATAAAAAAGACTTTCTAACTGCTTTTACTTCATCCCACATTGTTTCTTTTAAGCGGCGGTCCAGCAGAAGATAAACGCCCCGCGTTACAAACTCACAGCTCACTCTGGTGTTTGCACTTTGTTACTTAACGTCTGCAGCTTTCCGTTTATTTCCTCGGGATCATTATGAAATGAGTATCAGCCACAGAAGAGGTGCAGATTGTGGACCAGTATTGATTGCACAGACTACATAATTCATAATGCTTAATGCATTCCTGCATTATGCATCCACTCCTGAAGACTGTGCCACTCCTTCTCCATCCTCTGACTGAATGATTCACATCACAGGGGGGTTACAAGTTGGTACAACCCAATGCTGACTGAAAGTGCACTACACCACTAACTTTATTACTCTTTACTGTTAATCCTCGATTCGATTTAATTTTCCATCTTTTTTTAATATTACTATTAATGCATTCCTTATATGTTATTTACTTTTTTTTTTTTGGCCTTTTCCTATTCTGTTTCGGGGGGCTTTTATTTTNNTATTTTGAAACCGTAAACAGAACAAACATTAAACACGTGAACATAGTGAAATGAAACAACACAGAATGATGATTTGATTGTTTCAGCACACTCCGAAGAGACCCAAGGTTAGTGTTCATGGAATATGTACTTATCAATGTGCATTTTAAGCCTTAAAGTCATTCTGGACTGTAGATCATCTGTTCACTTGCTCAGTTGAGTTCAGTTAGTGTTAATTGACGTGAATGAACGACAGAATACTTCCACACTGGTGATTTCAGAGTAGAGGGGCTTCGATTGGGTCGGTCGATGTGTATTTTGTCACCGTGTTTGGACCTTCACTGGGGATGAAGCGGTTTCAGCTCGTCCACCTGCAGTGAAAAGAAGCTGTAGTGAAAAGCATGAATAAGTAAAGTAATCTCTCTTTCTGTCTTCCTCCTCCTCCTCCGGAGCTTCAGGGCTGCGTTCGTCTGGCAGCCGAATGAAGTTGCGATAGGAAAGTGATACGTCGGTGTTCCTCACAGTTCGGTAGGCTTTCGCCCGCGTTTTGGCTCCGCTGTGGTGATGGTTCGAACAGAGAGAATAGACATGACATAATCACAGTGTACTGTCTGGCTCAGTTAATTTGGGCACCCAGCTGTCCTGAAGGGGCTGAGGTGTCTGTGTGTCACTGCAGTTCAACACAATCGCTCAGATAGACGTGTGTAGTTATGTGACAGCTTCATTATCCGTTTATCATTTCTCAATTTATAGATCAATCGTTGGGTCAAAAATATGCTTTAAACTCGCAAAGAAATGTGTCACTGGCTGTTTGGATCATCAGTTTGTTGTTTTGAGTCATTTCCATAAAGAAAATATGTCTAAATTCTTATTTCAGCTTCTCAAATGGGAATACTTTCAGTTTTCTTCAGTCTTTTATGACTGTAAACTGATATATGACGTATGAGGACGTCACATTGGACTTCAGGAAAAAGTGATCAACATGTTATGGACCAAACACTAATGGAGAAAGGGATCTATTGTTAGCAGCCGTGTTGCACTTAACTAAAGTTGCTTGTTTCGTCGGAGCAACTGTCCACTCGCACATGAAACAAAGAAAATCCTCAGAATTGAGAAGCTGGAACCATAAAATGTTGTTGCAGTGACGGATTTATTATCAAAATACTTTCAGAATAATTTTCTGTTGTTCAATTTGTCCATTAAATGACTAATTGTTTAATCTCCAGCAGTATTTAGTCACTATTTCCCATCGAATTCAAACTCTATTAATTACGAGCACCTTCATTAATGTTGTCTCTTGTGTTTTTTTCCCAGATTACCTTGATAATGGCAACAATAAAATGGCAATACAGCAGGCAGATAAACTGCTGAAGAAACATAAGGACCTGCACTGTGCCAAGGTGGGTGACCAAGGAACAATGAAAGGTTTCTGCTTTACAAGAAATAGCCTTTTGAAAGTCTGCATCTCTCCATATATTACTGCGGGACACGTCGGCTGTTGGCTCACACACATTCCCAACACAGCGGTAGGAGTGCAGCCGTTTGCTCAAGGACACTTTGACAGGGATGAACACATGCTGCTGCCTCAGGGGTCGAAGCTGAGGCCACCCTGCTGTCAGCAACACCTCACCATGTGTTGAAATGTTTACCCTCGGTAACCAGGTGAACTTCTGCAGGTCGCCCCGTGTTGTCAGATACTGCCATTCATGACCTAAAAGAAACAAACTGTATTAGTCCACCATTCGTCACGTTTATTTCTTTCACTGTCCTGACAATGAAGGCTTATTGAACATTTAAGGTCTAGAAAGATTTGTCTTTTTCTTTGTTGTCCTGAATTTATTGAGCCCTGGTTCAATGGTTGGCCCCATTTTTGACTCTATGACTCTTAAACATGATAAATTGTGACCCCCTTTTGTACAGGTTGCCTTCCTGAGCTAGAGAGTTTTCCCTTCAAAGTTTTTAAAGAGTTTTTTTGTCATTTTAAAACCAGTTTCAGCCATCCTCACCCCCAAAACCTGATAAATAAACTGATACCTGCACCACAGCAGAACTCTAACCTTATCAAAAGCGTCATTATGACTCAGTTTGAGCGTGTGTTTAATTAATTCCAACATACAGGCTGCAGGTTACTCCTCTTTAATGCATCTTAAAGCAAATCCCATCTATCCCAAAGATAAAAGCTGCAGCACCTCAAGGACCAGACGCAGTGACCGAAGGCTGACCCTGAAGTCAGCTGCAACTCTGACCCTTTAAGCAGTGAACGTATCTCAGCTGTTTGACCACAGTCTGCAGGCTGAGGCTGTTTGAGCCTCTTACAGTCGTCTCACCATATCCGACATTACCTGCAGATGTAATGAGTTAACAGAGGCCATACGGTTCTTATTCAACCGTCTTTATGTGAAACAGAACCTGTCTTTACTTTGATTATTCTTTTATAGCTAACAAATGCCAAAAAGCGTTATTAACTAATGAATTTGTTAAATTAATGTTACTCGGAGTCATAATCTACAATCTGACAGTTCTACTGTGAGGACAGAACGTTGTGCAGTGGTGTATTTAATACGATTTAATTATCATTACCCAGGCAAATGTGGCAATTAATAGTGGTATTGATTTTTAGATGCAGCCCAACGTCAGACCACGAAACCCACTGAGGGAAATGATTAGATAGTATTAAATGTGGGGATTTTTCATCCGTCTCATCCGTCTCTGGACTCGCAGGGAAAATCATTGATAATTTATATCGTTTTAAATTATTAGGTGTCAAGGAATAACCCGAGTGTTACACAGAACCATATTATTATTATTATTATTATTATTATTATTATTATTATGGGTAGTCGTCGTTGGAAAGGGAGGGAGTTTCATAAAGTCCTCGGCAGGTGATTGGATGAACCGTCTGTCACAACTTCAACAACCATATAACTCACATTTAACCAACATCTTTCTCCCCCTTCAGTGCCGTTCTTCCCTCTTTTAATGAATAAATCCTCTACAGTTCAGGTAGGACTGATGCTAGCAGCGTCTACACTAACCTCTTTAGCATTACAGTTACAAACAACCAGATTCACACTCGGATTTCCATTTCCCTCCAGGCATCATCTTCTCAAACATCCTGCATGAATGTGATTTTCTGCAGAGGTCAGGCTATCGACAACACCGTCTCACTCTGTTGTTTTTGTCCTGTAACTCTTTATTTCTGTCCTCCCTTCAGGTCCTAAAGGCCATCGGCCTTCAGAGGACCGGAAAGCAGGATGAAGCTTTCACTTTGGCCCAGGAAGTCGCCACTCTAGAGCCCACGGATGACAACTCGCTACAAGCTCTGACTATACTTTACAGAGAGATGCATCGCCGTGAGTACACACACACACACACACACGCACACACACACCACACCGACACCACACACACACCACCCGCACCACACACACACACACAGAGGCTGGTAATAATACTAGAATGACTGCATGTTAGAAGTTGCGCCTGTCGTCCGCAGCGGAGTTGGTCACCAAGCTGTACGAAGCTGCGGTGAAGAAGGTTCCTCTCAGCGAGGAGTACCACTCTCACCTCTTCATGGCGTACGCTCGCGTGGGCGAGTACAAGAAGATGCAGCAGGTGAGAAAGCTCTCGTCCGCACTTGCATATAAACGTGCAAACACACACGTGACTAACAGCTGTGGCTTTTGTGCTCCATTGGTAATTTAAAAAGATGGACACTTAATCAGAATAATGAAGAGGATGTTGACGACTGCATCTTCGCCCCTTTACAGGCAGGAATGGCCTTGTATAAAATCGTCCCCAAGAATCCGTATTACTTCTGGTCCGTCATGAGTCTGGTGATGCAGGTATGGCCTTTTTTTTTTTTTTTTGCTGTTCACGTTCCTAAAATATTATTATTCTGAAATGAACACACAATGCTGCGTTGGTTGTTGTTTAGGCCATCTCAGCACAAGATGAAAGACTGGCCCAAACCATGTTCCTGCCCCTGGCTGAACGCATGGTGGAGAAAATGGTCAAGGAGGAGAAGATTGAGGCAGAAGCTGAGGTGAGGAAGGCGTCTATGTGACCTGAGCGATTGCTGTTTGATGGGTCATGATGATACATATTAACACTTAGATTAAAATGTCTTGTGGTGCTTTCACACATAAGCTGTTTGGTGTCGGTAAAACAGACCCTGGTGCGTTCGTTTGGGACCAAGCAATCAGATACGTACAGGTTCGTTAGGGCGGCACAATTAATCTAAATATCATCAACATGACAGTCCAATATTCAAATTTTTGGGTAACCATGTATGCACGTCACCGCTGCTATTTCCCCTGATTAGTAAGTCAAAAGCTGTTGAAAGTGCTGTGCTCGTATCACTCTGTGTTCTTTCAGTTCATTAGGTCCTTTAAAAAGAGCGTCACAGCCACAGCAATAAGCCCCAATCATTACTGTACGAGACGCTTCCTTTTAGTCCTTTTTGCTGGATGTGTGAACAAACACACACTGAAAATGGGGCTGTACATTTAGTTTAATTTTCCTCATTTGTAAAGTTAGTCAAGGTAAATTTTAAAGGCTTTACAATCTGTACTGCATACAACACCCTCTGTCCTTTGACCTCATGATTGAGATAAGGAAAAAATACCCCCCAAACTGAGCGACCGTGTATAGAATAAACATAAAATTACAGTTTGGAGAGTCCTTATGAAAAAATTATACATTGTAAGCATGTGAAGGTTAGGGAATGAACATATTGGCCCAAAGACAAATGTCTTTTTGAAGATATAAAAGACTTTCAGAATAATCCTGTCGGAGGTTTCTCTGAGCTTCTTTTTGTTCAAAGAAAAGAGTCGTCAGCCTTGAAACCTGGTAAAAGTGAAACATGAAATACTTCCCTTAAAGCATAATATAAATTCCTCTTTTGTGTTGCCTGTCAGTCAGTCACACATTCACATTCTCTCCTGTTAAGCTGTTGAAGCAGTCAGAATGATGTTTTTATGTCTTTTTGAGCCTCTCTTCGTGACACTGTGACAGCAGTAATTCTTGGTAGCTTGACAGATTATTCGGTCTGTGTCTGCAAATGTCTGAATTAGTTTCTATCATGTCACACAAGTAGCATGTCAGAACTTTATAAACACTAACAGGGCTGTTTAACTCACAATAAACAGACTTAAAGACGCTCACTAGCCTAGCACAGTCGCCTGTAGACCGCTGTTACACCCGCACATTCCTGATAGCTTCTTACATTCGGGTTGGTGCAGTAGGTCGAGTTTTATTTCTAACTACAAGACAAACAGATGTAACAGAGTCGCTGGCACTATTTACATGGCTTTCTGGTGTTTTTGTGTGTGACTGTAGGTGCAGCTGTATTTTATGATCCTGGAGCGCCTGGGAAAGTGTGTGGAGGCTCTCGAAGTGATCAGGGGTCCACTTGGAGGTATTTATGTGTTCTTCTGTTCCTCCATGTTTAATCACTCACAGGGCGTATTAGTGAATAACATGCCTGATTCTCCTTTTCAACTGTTTTTTCCATTTGTTAAAGTAGTGGATGGTACCAGTTACTTTTTAAGCTTTACTTCAGGTCGTGGTTCTAAGATACTAAAGGGCCGATACTGAAAGGTGGAGTGAAAACCCTGCAGACCACTGATTGGTCGGAGAGTATCGTAACTCGTTCGACACAGGCCATCCTCTTGTGTTTGCATCGCGTTGAAGAGGATGTCGTGGCAGTTTCACGTGGCGTTGCTATGAATATACTGTCTCATTTGTTTATTAATGAGGTCAAAGCACATTAATCAACGTCTCTGTAAATGTGCCGTTTGTTAGCCAGGAGGCTAATTTTAAACAGTTGTCCTTTTGCAACATGTTCTAAAATCTGTGAAGTGGCAGGTTAAGAAATACAAACAAGACAGGAAGACAGAACGCACTGGTATGTGTATTGATTTCATTAATTGGATTAGTTTGTCTCCCTCACCAAAGAGGAGTAGATGGAAATTAGCTTGTAGCTAAATTTGGTAAACTCGATCTCTTTGTATAAGATCTACATGGTCTTAAACTAAATTAATAATATGTCTGTATCTGTATATTCCCACAGAGAAGCTGACCAGTGAGCTGCAGAGCAGAGAAAACAAGTGTATGATGCTCTACCAGAGACTACAACGCTGGCCGGAGTGTAACGCTCTGGCCCACAAGCTGCTTCTCAAAAAGTGAGTTTAGGCCCTTAGACCGGATGTTCACGCCTGTCGTCTGTGATTGTGAGAATAAACCACAGACAAGCACGTAAGTTACAGACCTGTGTGTTTCTGTTTCCAGTCCTGATGATTGGCAGTTCTATCCCTCCTACTTCGACTCGCTCTTCCACCTCATCGATCAGTCGTGGAGCCCGCCAGAGGAAGGCGACCAGTGAGTACAGAGTTCAATATAAGCCAACAGAAACACACGACATAAAGATTTTTGAGTTGAGTTATTGAAGAGCTCTGACCAATATATGTACTGAGCAGGACATTGTGCAAAAAAATAAAGGTCAGTCTAGCTGTAACAGAGTGGAACGGACGTGCAGGGATTTTTCTTTCGACGTCATAATGAACCCTCAGACACATAAAGTCAATGCTAGGCCTACCGGGAAATGATATGACTGTTTGTGAGCGAGGGCTGTCCTGAATTGGCCACAAAAACTTGAGATCCTGGAAAAAGATTTCTTAAAAAGAGTGGGAACCCTGTAAGAATGAAAATGTTGTTTGAAAAGGAGCCATCTTTATTGATTCAGTAAACTAACATATCACACAGTTTCCACACATCCTGGAAAACCTGGACATTTAGAGACTAGTTTTCCATACATTTTCTGTAAAATAAAACAAGTTGTGCGTGATTTGGACTGTTACTTATGGGCTGTGGACAGATGAATGTAGTCAATTTGTCCGAAACCTGCAGTTTATGACCATTTGTAAGCAAAATGCTGTTATGTACTGTCAAGAAAAACTCCTGGAAAATGACTTGTTGGGAGCCTTGAATCCAATGACTAAATGCTGCTGTAGAAACAAACAATTCAATTCAATTCAATTTTATTTGTATAGCGCCAATTCATAACAGAAGTTATCTCATGACACTTTTCAAATAGAGCCAGGTCTAGACCCGAACTCCTTAACATTGTACAGCAGACCACAACAGTTACCCCATGACAATCCACTTGGGCGACCAGGGGCAATTGAAAATCAACTGCCTTTTAACGGGCAGAAACCTCGGCACAGACCTTGGCTCTAGGTGGTGGTTCATCTGCCTTGACCAGTTGAGAGAGAGAGAGAGACAGAGAGGACGAGAGACAAACAGATGTACAGCAACATACAGAAGCAACAAGACTACGATTAGACCAGTAATGATCGCATGACGATCATGGAAAAAGACGGGTGACGACGGCGACGGCAGCACCACGATCACGAGCCAGCGACAACAGCCAAGCCGCGAAGCAACAAGACAATACGTCAGACAATCAAACTAATAATAATAACACTACATATCCAGTGGATATTAAGCAATGCAAGTCTAGCAGGCATGGCAGGAGGCTCCACCAGGATCCATGAGAATCTGCAGGACGATAAAGCACAGATCTCGGGGAAGAAGTTGAAGTTGATAGTCATTGATTAATGGGACGATGAATGATGCAGAAAAGAAGGAGGAGGTAAGAGAGGAGCTCAGTGCAGCCATGGATGTATCCCCTGGATATCTAGGCCTATAGCAAGCATAACCAAAGATGTTCAGATTCCACCTGATCCAGCCTGTTGAACATATTAAGCTTTTATTCAAAAGAGAAATGTCTTAGCCCTACTCTTTAAATGTGGAGGCAGGGTGTCTTGCCTCCCGAAACCTTCGACTGGAAGCTGGGTCCACAGGAGAGGATGCTTTTGTAACGAAGGCTCGGCTCCTGTTCTACTTTTAGAACTATATGAATCCACAAGTAAGCGCCCAGCATTCAGATGAACGTAGTGTTCTTAGGGGTAATATGTACTAGAGACTCTTCCCAAACGATTATGAAAGGGCCTGACCATGAAGAGCTGTTATAGGTGAGAGATGGATTTAAATTCTTATTCTAAGAATTTAACAGGACTCAATGCAGAGCTAGAAAACAGGAGAGATGTGATCTCTTTTCCTATTTGTTCCTGTCAGTACTCGGCTGCAGCGTTTTGGATTTTTAAGTTGGCTGTCTTAATGGACTTATTTTAGGGCAACCTGATAACAAGAGAGTTGCAGTAGCCTTGAAGTAAATGACAATGAGAGCGAGGGCGCTGCTGAGACATGTCAGTGACAGAGAAACCTGATTGAATGTGGGCATGTTTATTTTTAGTGTTTACTAGTTCTATCCAGCTGTTTTCAGATGTTAATTGAAGGGATTTGTAATCCTGGAAGGGTCATACATGCTGATCCCAATTTATCTGCAGTAAGATCAAATATATCGGTCAGTACTCTAACATAATCCCACGATGACGGCAGGCCAGGCTCGCGCTGAATTATGACAAGTCACAAACCGTTTCACCCATTCCTGCTCAGAGCATTATGCTGGGATGACAAGGTGGCTCACTAACAGAGACCTCATCCTTCAACCAGACAGCCCGAGTCTAGAACACCTTGTGCCTGCAGGAGTCCGACCTGCTGAGTTGTCCTTGAATCTCTGTGAGCTCCTTCAGTCCTGCTCTCACTTTGGAGGGCAGCACATGGTATCATATCATGGTACATACTATCCAGCACTGATCAGTCTCTCTCTCTGTCTCCAGCTGTTCGGAGGGTTCGGTACATCACACTGTGGGTGAAGTGGTGAGGTTTGTGGAAGAGAGAATCAAAGGGGAGGACGGCAAGGATTCTCGTTCACTCAGAGGACCCTATTTAGCTCGGCTTGAATTAATCCACAGACTGAGAGAACGGGGCTGTCCTGAGGAAAAACTGCTAGGTAAAACACGGATTGTAAAAGCACTTTCTTTTGCCCTGTCCCTCACCCCCGCTTTAACATTTGTATGTGGCTTTGAACAGGTGAGCCTTTAGAGCTAATGGTGCAGTTCTTTGCAAAGTTTGGAGACAAACCCTGCTGCATCACCGACCTAAAAATATACCTCCACCTGCTCGCTCCTGATCAACACGTTCAGGTGAGTTAAAGCCCCTGTTGTTTAACTCTAGTGAAGTGAAGGGCTGGGCTGTGAGACGCTTTTCTCTCCTCGACTCTTCAGTTCATTAACCGTCTGAGTGAACTGGTTCCACTGGGGGAGCTGGGAGAGGAGCGATTCGCTTTTCCAGAGGACACCAAAGCGCTACAGAGGCATTTGTGTGTGTGTCAGCTGAGTCGAGCGCTCGGGCTGCATCACTCCCTCGACGTGGACGGAAAACTGCGGCTTATCGCGGAGCTCAAAGCTCACTATCGCCATGGACTCAAGTTTGGTAAGAACACTTATTTATTCTTACACTTTATGGCATTAACATTTGTTCAGGATAATCAGATTGTACACGGAGCAAAGAGACATAAAAACCTGTAGATGCAGCACGTTTCATGCTCAGTGGCCAGAATATTGGAAGCCCCCCATCATCATCATTTTTCTACCAAATAATCCCAGAAACTAAAAGTCCCTGTTGCATATTGGTTTTTATGTTTCCACTAAGGATGTCATGATAGCAGAAGTTTAGTAGTTGATACAAATACTATTGAAATTCCACCAAACAATGAATCCCAACACACACTTTTTGATTAAAACAATTACAAAAAACAACATCAACAGTGGCATGTAGCCTTCAAGTAATAGGAAAAAATAACGACTCAACATATTTTTTTTCTGCCGCAACAAACTGGCACGATGTTTCTTTTCAGGAAAGAAACAATTCAATATTGCACTTAATGCCGAACCTACAAGAAGTCCCAAATAATTAAGAATTGGTTGCAGACAGTGTTTTGCAAGTTTATAAAGAATCTCTTAACTCAACTACTCACAAAATTGCACAATTTCTAAAGGGAGGCTGGTGAAAGAAGTAGCCTATGTTTACTGTGTAAAATTTGTTTACATGTTTATCGTCAATAAAATGTCGTGTAAATGGTAAAATCTGTTGGTGTTTAAACACTAGCTGCTAAATGTTGGCAGGTAAGACTCACTTTACATACGGATTAACCACCGGTACAACGACAAACTGACACACACACAGAAGGAAGAACTTAAAGTACTTGCACTTAATGCCAAATTTACAAGAAGGCACTGATTTAATGATTCGCCGTATCGAGTTTCTCCTCTACAACTCTAAAAATTGCACAATGTTTTCTTTTGTAAGAGAGTCTGGGGATATTGCAGTTACTAGTTCAATAGTGAAATCAGTTGAAACAGTGTGTTCACAAACATCTGCTGCTTATCTTGGCAGGTTGGAGAGCCCAAACACGTTGTTTGCATCACAATGAGCCAAATGGAAATCAGACAGCGTGTTTTCTGTGTAGTTGCAGGATGTCAGTTGAGTAGGCGGTCCTTCGGCGCGGCCCAGGACGCGTTCACATTCACACTGCTGAAAGAATGTGGTCACATGTGGATCTCAGTGTGTGATAGATGCGTGTGGGCTGCATTCATACCTGTACATAGAGCTGTCCTCTCCTCTGATCGATCACCCAAACTGCATGTTATGTCAGGTGTTGGTCTGCAGCCTGCTTTATCCATGCATGATGGGTTCATTACCTCATACTGCTGATGCCGCACCATAAATCTCCCATTGTGGTCGCTTTGTCCACTGCTTTCAGTGTATGGAAGTATGGCAGTCCACCATGGAGCACAGAGGCATTTGCAGGGTTGTGTGCAAACCAACTGGTCATTATATACGATAACTATTGACCTGACATTTCCCATCATAAGGTTTCCAATAAGCCATCCTCAGTAAGCCGTTCACATGCAAAGCCATTTCAAATATTGTTCATGTACTTGTTTATGTAGCGACACATTTGTATTTGGAAAGGACAAAGCAGGGGTCCAGCCTTCCTGGTCACTGAGCATATGGCAGCATTAGCAAGCTTTTTGAAAACCTTGTTGGAAACACCAGTTTTAATGCAGCTCGGATGTCGGCTGGCAGCTCGAGGAGCAGCATGCTCGTCAAACATTGTCAGGATACGTGTGTGTGTGTGTGTGTGTGTGTGTGTATTATTCAGTGTGTGGGGATGAAATCTGTTTTCACTTAGTCACATTTTGAGGACTTAACCTCCCATCTGGGACTAAAAACCTGTGTTCCCCCCGACAAGGTTAGCAATTTGTAGTAGAGTTAAGACTGGTTTGTGGTTCATATTAGGGTCCAGCATTCATGAATGTGACAGAAAAACAGATTCAGGCTGCTAACATGGAGACCAGCCGTCTGGATTTTAAAGGCGTACTATGCAGGATTTTCCTAAAAATGTCATACATACATAATCCCTTGTGATCAGCACTAGAAGTGTGTGGCAGCGTGTGTATCTGCAGAGGCTCTGCCTTCTTATTTAGCGCTCAGAGGTTTCTGTAAAAACCCAGCGACGAGGTTACATCGCCGTCTCCGTCTGTCTCTGCTCGCTGTCTGTCTGTTGGATGTGTAACCCGGCTGCAGTGTGTCAGTGTCGTGTTTCGGGGGCGGACAGGATGAAGCTACTTCTTCAGCTGCATTCACACAAAAATCCACAAATATGGCTTCTTCCTGCAGGGTTGTGCGGAGGTGTGGCCCGTGTTTATTTGTGCTGTGGAACGTAACCGCTGTGAAACAGTCAGAGAATAACATTTTATTTCTCTGATTCACTGCTTTGTTCTCCCTCCCCCTCATTCATTCTCTATGTAGCTCGACCAAAGGTGCTCTCTCTGGCTCACTTGAGCCGGGGAGGAGGGGCCAACTTCGAACGGTGCGTTTACAAGCAGCAGCGGACAAATCCTGCATAGTATGTCTTTAATGAGTATAACACAAGTGTATTTTTAGTTTTAAGGTGTAAATGATTAGAATCATACTTCCATATGAGTTGGATACAGACGTGTCTGTAGCAGCAAGCATTGAAACATTTAAGAGTTGTCACTGAATGCTTTTATTTGAATCTTTTTGCTAATTTTATAATGTTTCATGTAGGCAAAGTTCTTGTTTTGTGTTGAGGGATAATTGAACAGTGACCTTTGGCTTATTTTGTTAGATATAAAAACCGCCTGTCACAATAACTACTTTTGTTGGACGATATATTCTCTATAAACAGTATTATTGTCATTTTAAGACCATTTTATGCCGCTGACGTAATATGCATTGTAATGCAAGTTTACCCTTTCAAAGAGCAATGAACTCATAGTTATTAAGAATATTCAGACATTGGAATTATACAGTAAAAAATATTAAAATATCCTTAATAAATAAAACATAAAGACATAAATAAAATTGACTCTGTTAATGAATAATGTTTGTTAATAGACAATATAAGTGAAGAAAAAACTTTCTGGGTTAATGTTGACTAAAATGTTCTTAAACAATAAGTTGATATTGTGACAGCCTATAATTACACACCATATATATTGAACTTTATGGTATTATCACAGGGTTTATTACTCAAAGTAAGGTTTGTTATTGTCTTGGTGTTTAAACTTGAGTATCGTATTAGCGCCGCTATAAGAACAGTACGGTTTTATCACTGCTGCCTTCCTGTGAACATTTACTGTGTATTAGTTGTGACTGGTTGATCTCTGTGTTTAACAGGGAAGAACGCTCTGAAGACGGAGCTGCAGTTCTCGGATATGTATTGTCTCATGGTAGCTCACGTATACGTCGACTTATGGACGGAGACTGGTGAGTTTCCTTTCTCTTATTCCACATCCGTCTCTTGTTTCCGTGTCTCTAAACATGTCGCTGTGTGTGTTGTAGGGGATGAGAACATGGTGTGGCAGGGTTTGGGCGTCCTCCAGGAGGGTCTGTCTCACAGTCCCTCCAACGCCCAGTTCAAGCTGCTGCTGCTGCTCCTCTACTGTCACCTGGGAGCCTTTGAGCCGGTAGTGGACCTTTACTCCAGCCTGGACGCCAAACATGTACAGCACGACACCATAGGGTCAGTCCATGAACACAGAGACACTTTAATGACTTCTGTATTGTTTGAAAGTTATTTTACAACATTCAGCTGCAGAGATTATGACATATTATAGTTTTCTTTCTCTTGTTCAAATCTTACATGTTGTGTGTTTTTGTATTTGCTGGGGTCCTTAAAGGGGTTCCAGGGGTTTTAAACTCACTATAATTTAATTAACTAACAGTTTCAGCTTAATGAAAGAATGTATAAGAATGACTAATGTGTTCGTAAGTTTCACACTCAAACAATTAAACTATTTATTATGTGTAAGCTCTGTGTGAATAAACCTATAATATACATACAATTAGTCAATAAAGTGGTGAAAAATGTACCATAACAAAGAACATCCAGTATCTCTTTAACAATAGCTCCTCCATCTGTAGTGGAGAGAAGTAATAAATAAACAAGCAAACACACAATTTGCATGATTGCAGCAGATTTCTTTCATATCTTCACTCACTGAGTGGTGGGAAATTATTTGCTTTATCGGAGGAGCTTTAAAAGCAAAGTTTGGTTTATTACTACTGGAACTGTCAGTTGTGACAATTGTGTGTTTCTCTGTTTTATAATAAGTTACCACAACTGTACAAGCTCTGTCAGAGAATGATTTAAAAACTGTATATTTTAATAAGATCATCATCAGTGAATACTGTTTTTACTCCTGAGTCTTAAAGTAGAACCAAAAATGTGTTAAACTGGGAGTCACTGACCAGCTAAGACTGATTTCCATCTCAGAGACACTTGATAGATACAAGCCCAGACCAGTTTATGATCAGTAAAAATGCTTTTTTCTTTTTCCCCCTCCAGCTTTCTGTTAACGCGTTACGCTGAGTCACTGGGTCAGTTTGCTGCAGCCTCCCAGTCCTGTAATTTCTCCCTCAGGTTTTTCCACTCTAACCAGAAAGATGTAAGTCAATCCCACTTTGTGATTTCATTTCTGACACATTAAACACTCTTAAAGCCAGATTCACACGTTCTTATGTTACCTTGTGCGGCTCATTCCTTTAATCAATCTCTCCTTCCCTCTTTTCTCCTCCCACCAGACCTCAGAGTATATCATCCAGGCGTATAAGTACGGCGCGTTCGAGAAAATCCCAGAGTTCATTGCTCTCAGGAACAGGTTGAACCAATCGCTGCACTTTGCCCAGGTCCGCACTGAGAGGATGCTGCTGGACCTGTTCCTCGAGGCCGATATGTGAGAAAAACCTCGAAACACGCAGTGAATTGTATCGACTTGTGTTGCTGGAGTTGAATTCTTCATGTAGATTTCGTCTTTTCCTCATTTTGTCTTCCAGTGTGTTGAGTCTGGAGGAGAGTGTCAAGGCCATGTCTTTGTCTGCAGAGGAGGATGACATCCCCTGGGATAATATGAGGGACAACAGAGACCTTACAGTTTTTACCAGCTGGAACCCTAAAGAGAGGTGTGTGATTATTTTAGGGATACAGTCAACAAAACCTAAAATACATTTGAATCTAGTTTTTGACAATTAAATTGAAGCTTTTTAACTTGCCATCTTTTATGTTACCATGGTTACAGGTGTTGTTCTGTATCTCTGTTGCTAGGATAGCGAGAAAAGGCCACTGTTAACCTGTTTATACCAGACTGTAAAGTCTTATTCACAGTTTTATCTATTCCCCCCAAAAAGTAGGAAAAGAAAGTATAAACTTTCTTACTGTTTGCAAATATTAAAATCTGTCCTGATCCGTTCTGAGTTAACTAACAGTAGTTATTATCACTATACAGACTTCATACTGAATCTGAAGGCTGATATTTCTTTCAGTTTGGTCTCAGTATTATCAGGATTTTATCATTACATTTAGAAAGACTGCACGAGCAGCATCCTGCCACTGACTAAACTCACAAAGCTGCTATAAGGTCGGATAACATTTATTCTTTTAGCGGACGTATAGGTGAAGATTTGAAGATGGTTGACAGCATACGTAACTTCTGCTGATAATTAACATAAGAGACAACTGATTAATTGTGTAATTTCAGTGAGACTGAATGAATTGAATCCATTAATCTGTTATTTTGGTAATGTTAGCTCACTGGTAACACAAGCTTACATTAGTGTCAGATGTAATGTTATTGTAATACAGGATTCAGCTCTTTAGTTCAGGTTGAGCAGCTAAATCAACTTCTGAAGAGGAGATGTGTTTTTATTTATTTTATTGTACATAATGAATTGTATTTTTTATGAATTTCAGTGTTCTTTTTTTTTCTTTTTGTTTTTAACGCTTTGACGATCATTGTTTTTGATGTTCATGCCGTTAAAGAATGAAGTCTGATCATTGAATATAAATATATTTCTAATAGTGACTTATTCATATGTTCATTGTTCCATCTGCCATATTATCGTTTTTAGTTTTCAGTTGGTTCCTTTTTATTTACTTTCAGTCTGACTTTCATTGTGGAATAACAGTGAATAATCTTTGCTCTTCCTCTCTCAGAGAGCTGACTGACGAGCACCGGCGTCGGTCTCTCGATGAAGAGGCCGTCTGGCTGAGAATACGCTCTCTAACTCTGCGCCTCCTCGCCTCTTTGGCCGGGTTGGGACACACACCCTCGCAACAAAACTCTGTGATGGCCAACGAGAACGGGATCGGAGACAAGACCTCGATCCTCAGCAGCCTGCTCTCGCAGCTCAACCAGACTCTCCAAACCGCCGTGCAGATAGCAGAAAAACGCGTACAGGTACGTAGGGGCGTGGAGTTGTTTAAAAGAACACATCTGGCACACGTCCAAGGTTAAAAAATAACTGTGCCACATACATTCCCTCTGGCCTGGCTCTCATCTGTAACAACTCTTATCTACTCCTGGAAGAAAGCTTTTCCAATCTACTGCTGGTCAGACTTTAGTCGCCTGTGTCTGACGCATATTAATGAGGAATGAACCAGACCAACTGCTGACTGCCAAGACATTTTTGTGAGCCTACTTCCTCTTCCCGTTGCAGCTCAGCATGGACTCAGGAAGGAGGTTCAGCTGCATGAATTGTCTCATGTAAAATGGATGCCCAAAGAAATTAGACTGGAGACTTCCAGACTCTAGTTTGAGGGAGATAACTAAGCAAAAGAAGAAAGATGACAGGATTGTTCATAGAAATATCTTCCTCGGGTTACAGAGAATATGGGATTGCAAGAATTCCAACAGCTTTCTCCTAATTAAGGGCAAATTTTCATTCCAAACTTTAGTAGATGTGTGTTTGTTCAACTCCGTAAAAATCACGTTGGATGATAATAGTTTCAAATAAAAATCTCAACATAATCACCCAGTTTTTTAATCCTTACAGTCCTGCTCAGGGCTTCATTTTAATTGTTTGGTTAAGTGTTGTGCATTTGGGAAACCTGCCATCTGGGCTGCAAAAATAGGACAGATACTTAGAAAAAAGCAATAACCTAGAAATGGCTGAGTAAACAGTCTCCAACATTCCTTGAATGGATCGAAATAGTTCAGGAAACGTATGTGGTTGACTTTATCCTCGAGAAAAGCCCCTAAAAAATGTGAAAAACACTGTAAAACCTATTTGAATCTTAAGTGATTGTGTTACTTTATAATCTTTAGCGCCCTCTGCAGTACATTTGAACAACTCCATGTCAGAACTGTGTGGAGTACGTTGCTGTAATGGCTGTCTGTGTCGTTCACTGCAGTATCCATTCTTGGGACCACCCTCCACCCGCCTGGCCCCAGCTCTGTCCAGCGGGAGCTGTCAGTGCCAGGCCGCAGCCCTCCAGCTGTCTGTCCACCTACAGGAGCTGGAGACCGTCGGACTCGGTGAGGACAGGCGGCGGCGACGTTAAACTAACTTCTTAATTGTTGCCTGACGCTTTTATTAAAGCTCACCGTTGTCTTTCCTCTCTTTAGACGAGTCGTCGGAGCTTCAAACCCAGATCTGTAACGGTTTCAAATCATTAGTAGTTCAGCTTCAAGGTGAGTTAGCAGCTGGATTTTAACAGTGAACTCCTCCTCCTCTGTGTCCGCTCTGCTTCATGTTTCCTCTTTCTGTCCACAGAAATACTGAATAAATGCAAAGGGGATTTATTGGAAATGAAAGAGGGCAAATTAAAAACCTGGCCCTCCCTTTTAGAAAACCTAATCTTCTTTGTTGAGGTGAGACTGCTTCCACACACACACACACACACACACACTGATTTCACACTGATGTGTTTAAGTTGTAACCTGTTAATGTTGTTCTGCACAGACGGTGTGCATAGTCTTGTGGATGGCTAGTCACTGTGCCAAGATCCTCCGACCACTCAAGACTAGTCTACAGAAGAAAAAGAAGAAGAAAAAGGATACAAACACAGCCCTGGTACGGTTTGAATCCTCTCACACATCCAGTATAAGTAGTTCACAGTCTGAGCTGAGCAGCACGTTTTAATGGGAGCCCTCTGCTGATGGTTTGTGTGTCCTGCAGCCAGCGGTGGTTTGTGGGTTCCAGGAGCTGACGGGGGGCTTGCAGGACCTGCTCACCCAGGCTTTGGAGCACATAAAGGGGCAGGAGACTGGCGTGACAGCCCTTAAACTGGCCAGTTTAAGCTTGGAAGGATACCCACAGGTTAGTTTCTCTTTTCCCTTCCTCTGTTCAAATCCACAAAAGTACAGAGTAGAATAGAAACCCTCTGTCCATCTTTGATTTTATGGCAAATTAATTTTATTTAGGGATGTCCCAACCTGATCTGAGTCATTTAATGTTAAATATCTTCCAATACAGACTCCCGATCTGATACTTAATCAAATAACTTGTCTAATAAAGGTGTGCAGTGTGTACTTAAAGTACATTATAGTTGTTCAATTAAATCCAGTGTATATACTTGCCAGTTGAACAGCTCTGCACTGAAGCTGTTCCTTAATGTTTCTACACAATAAAGTCTAAAATAACAAACCTCCAATCTCTCTGTACTCTTTTTGCTCTTGTCGCTGTGTGGAGGGAGTTTCTCTCTCCAGCTGAAGTGCAGCTACACCAGAATATGTTGTTATATCGATTATCTGACTGTGAGATTGCCTCTTTTGCTCTGTTTCAGGATGAAGCTTCGTTTATGAAGTCTGCAATGGACAAGGTGCAGAGCAGTTACCTGCGCTCACTACAGGAGGTGGGAGATCTGCTCAAGAAGAGAGCAGAAACTATAAAGAACCTCAAGATCTGAACACCATCACACGCCCCAAATAAAGACGACTATACCCCCCACCCCACCCACACACCCATCAGCCCCCCCACGCCCCCAAACGCCACCGTCTGTCAGCCCACCAGCTAACCCACGAGTCCCCACTGTCCCCCGCTGCTCCGACAAACCCCCGCCCCGTTACTGACCTCCTCCCTTCCTCCTGCGTCTTTCTCGCCCAGCGTTTGTGAGCTCTCAAGTCTGGAATTTTTTTTTTTTTACTTTTCTTTTTCACTTTTCAAAACACACCTCTGGGACATTTGCAACTCTTCTAATAATAATAGCACACAAGCTTGTAAAGTAAAACTCATGAATTTATACAGCAGCTATAAGTGGAAACGAGGAGAGAGGAAAAAAAACAAACAAATGCTCATTTAAATATAAAATTAGGTAAATAAGCAGTTTTAGATGAATCTAATAAATTATTGTATATAGTAAAGAGCAACTACCACAACAATATAAGACAATAAACCACTATTCTGTTCAGTTACGTTTCCTCTTTATTCCTCAGTTTGTTTTTCTGGTCAACACACACACACACACACACACACACTGGGACTGTTAACACTAAGGAGGAAAGCTCTTTCAATGTGCTGCTTTTCCAGCTGTTTCTCTCCGTCGAGAGAGAAATGGGCACAACCTTTTTGCATTGAACTGACGCACTCTGTGGAAACATGGACACCTGCAGACTGAAGTTTCTCCTTCATTCTCACAGTCTTCTCCTCTTTTCTTTTTTCTTTTGCTTTGTGTATCTTGTGTGTCGCTTTGGTACTGAGAGTGGACCCACCACCTGTAGTTGCAGTATTATAAAGAGCAGCGGTGGGATGAGTTTAATAACCAGGACTCTTCTTCTTTCTTTTTTTTTTTTTTTAAATATGAATTATCTGCCGCTATTCTTTCTTTTCTTTACTTTTTCTTTTTTTTTTTAATTACTAGTAGAAGTGGTGCTTGTAAACATGTCTATTAATGTGGAATTGGGTTGTTCCAGCACACGTATATAAAAAAAATTAAGAAATCAGGCATGGATCAAATAATCAGAATCCTTTAAGGCTGAACTGATTCTAATATTTAAGTGCGAATATCTTAAAATGGATGTTCACCAAAGCCAACTCCAGTCACCCACGATGCTTCTGGCACTGCAGGCGCGGAAAGACTTTCTAGCAGCCTTAAAGTCATAACTTTTTCATGGATAATCATGTCTGTAGGTGGCGAAATGACACATTACAGGAGCTAGAACGCGTCTTCTGGTTCAATCTAGAGCAGAACATCGAGAGGATTTTGTTTACTTTGACCCAGATCTGATTGTACAGGCAGTTATTTTCAGCCAAGAAGCAGCTCTGTAGAATATATTCATGGTCTGGGGGTGGCGAACCCAGACAGGTTTGTGTTACACAGACAAACATTGGACCTAATTGTAAATAAAATAAAAAAGTTGAGGCAGCCTTTACAAAAGTACGGTGTGAACGGACATTAGTGTGTTTTTAAAAAGCAGCTGCAGTAGATATTAGGAGATTTGTCCTTTTGTTCATGTTTTTGTCATTCCCGCTTTATCTACCCCCCCCTCCAAAGCCCCCAGAAACGTCTAATGAACCAAAACAATTTCAATCAGCTTCAGCATCTTCTCAGTTTGTGACAAAAAGAGCATCTTCTATCTACCAATGAGAAACTGACCCCGAGAGACGAGCATACAGTGACATAGTTTACAGAGATCACCACGCAGCACTGATGGACGACTGCTGGCACTGCAGGTAGTGTGCAGTTGGATTATTTTTTCTTTTTTTCTTTTACTATGTTATTAAGAATTTGGCAGAGCAATGTGAAAATGTGAGTGAACGGCGAGTCCTGTTAGTCTTGTATACAATCGCACACACTTACTGCTAATAAATGCCTTTTTTTTTCTGAAGACTCGATCTGTTTGAATGGATCCGCGGCCGGAGAGAGAAGATGTTTGTGATCTGATTACATGTTGTTGTTGTTGTTGTTGTCGTCGATGTTGTTGTTGTTATTGTTGAGGTTCAGAATAATGGTTGACAATCTGGAGTGTCATCTCACCACCTTCTTTTGTTAGAAAATGGAAAACAGAAACACTGGAATGTCAAAGCTTTTTTTAAATAAAAAAAAAGTAAATGTGAGAATTTGGTTGTGAAATGTTTTGATTTGTTTGTTTTTTCAGGTTGTAAAGTTGGAGTCTCAAACTCAAACGCACCAAACAAACCGTGTATATAACGGGGTCATTTATAATAATATGAAACAACTAGAAAAGAAATAAAATAATCTTTCAGGCTGGATTAGATTATATTTGGATATTCCCCCGGGGCGGCAGTTTGGGACCCCTGTTGTTGAGCTTCTTTGAGTTCATAGACAGAAAATTAATCTTCAACTATATCAGTAATTCATAAATTGTTTCAGTCCAACATTGACTGCAGCTGCTCAGATGTGAGGATTTGTTGTTCTTTTGTCGTATATGATATATTCACTGAGCTTAAACTGGTCAAACAGTAATTTGAAGAAGACGTCTTGTGCTGCAAAACTGGGAAGTTTTCACTGTTTTCTTTCGTTTTATTGACAAAACGATTGATAACGAGACAATAATTGTTGATTTCAGCCACAAAGTAAAATCATTTATTATGATGCAAAGTTAACATATTTTGTCAGTTGGTTCTGATGTTGCTGTTGACGGACTCCCAGTTATACAGAAATTAATGAATTTATTTAAGTTTTGTTGAAATTTAGCCTTTACTGAGCTGAATTTATAGCACTTAAATAGGGCTGCATGATACGATTAAAAACAATCTCATTGGAATTAATTTGACAGATATTGTGATTGCGGTATGATTCACAATTAGTGAGAATGATCAGTTTTGCATCACAATTTGAATTTTCACATAAATACAACATAAAAAGACACATTGGATATTAATAAAACTCCTATTAACATCTTAATATCTTGATTATGTGACATTTGTTGGGGTCTGTACCAAACAAACACGTTCTCTTACATCTGGAGAAGATCTGTAGGCCAGGACTTCTCTAAAGAACTACAATCCTTCATTAAAATACTCTCACATTTTACCTTTATATAAAAACAATGTGATTTTGATAATATTTGGATTAAACATTTTTTTTTAATTATCTACTGCACATTTGAGGGAATAAAAAAATACATACATTCATATCGATAATTTTCAAAGTAAAATATGTTGATGCTGTAAATTCTGTGTTAAATTTAAATCCAATTTCAACAATTCAGTTGCTTACATTTAAAATCCTTTTTGGCCTTTCTTTGCTTCCATAC